CTGCATGATGAGTGAGACTGTTGCCAAAAAAAAAAAAAAAAAAAACATTAGCCGGACGTGGTGGTGGGTGCCTGTAATCCCAGCTACTCAAGAGGCTGAGGCAGAAGAATCACTTGAACTTGGGAGGCAGAGGTTGCAGTGAGCCGAGATCGCGCCATTTGCACTCCAGCCCAGGCAACAAAATCGAAATTCCATCTCCAAAAAAAAAAAAAAAAAAAAAACGAAGGTATTATCACTGTTACCGTCCCATTTCACAGGAGGGAAAACAGAGGCTCGGAGATGTTATGGGACAAATATTTCTCCTGACCCTAAATCCTTCTCACTGTGGATGTGTTTTCCTAAGTCTACCAATTACCACAGTAGCAAAATGCCCACTATGGGACTCTCCCACCAGAAGGAATGAGGGGGATAAGGGCGCAGGTGGAACATGGGGTATTTTCCAGAGCCGAGGCAGCACTGAACATCATCCATGACTGACCCTGGCACTCTTGATCACAAAATCTGAGTTGGAGGTGGAAAGCCCTCCCCAAGCAAGTCTAATCCAAGTCATCAAGTCAGCCTCCTAACTTGCCTGATTCCATCCTTGCTCTCCTTGAAGCTCTTCACTACTTAGCAGCCAAAGTGATCTCTCTGTTGTACATATTTTTCACTTATGAAAGTAATTTGGCCGCGTGCTGTGGCTCACACCTAGAATCCCAGCACTTTGGGAGGCCGAGGATGGTGGGATCATTTGAGGTCAGGAGTTCGAGACCAGCCAAACCAACATAGTGAAATACCGTCTCTACTAAAAATACAAAAAAATTAGCCATGTGTGGTGGCATACACCTGTAGTCCCAGCTACTCAGGAGGCTGAGGCAGGAGAATCACTTGAACTCGGCAGGTGGAGGTTGCAGTGAGCCAAGATCACACCACTGCACTCCAGCCTAGGCGACAGAGTGAGAGTCCATCTCAAAACAAACAAACAAACAAGCAAACAAATAAAAATAATTCATGACCATTGTAGAAAAGTAAAAAAACAAAAGGGAGATAAGGAAATTAAAACCATCCATATGTCTAGGATCCAGAGTTAACCTCTGTAAATATTCTGATGCATCCTCCCAGATTCTGTCCATGCGTGTGTGCACGATGGCCATGTGTACACTTGCAATTCTCTGTACAAGATTAAGACTGTACTCTGCAGTTTTATATCCTGATTTTGTCACTTCTTATGTAATTTTCCAGGTTATAAACTGCTATTAACCACGTTTTGGGGAGGTTTTGGGGTATGGTTTGTATACCCACCCGGTACTAAATTCAGAAAGGACGAAAGGGTCTACAGCAAAAACAATCTTTTCTCCATCCCATCCCTCAGCCACCATTTCCCTCCCTTGGGGCAACTATGATTACCGTTTCTTGTGTCCCAAATAATCTTTTAAAATCATGGAGCAGATCATGTCACTCCCCTACTTAAAACTCTCTGATGGCTTGCCATCACCCTGCAATAAAATCCAGGCTCCTAATCAGTCTTACTCTCTGGCTCTCCTCTGATTTCTCTGATTTCTCCAGTCTCTCCTCTCCAGCCACATAGCTGTTGCCCCTGTTCTGGCCTTAGGGGGTTTCATTTGCTATTCCCTCTGCCTGCAATCCCCCGTCTCCAGGTCTTTATGCAGCTGGCTCCTCACCCTTCAAGGCCTGGGCTGAGCTGTCCTCTCCCCCAGGTGGCCTTCACTGGCCTCCCAATCTAGGGCCACCACTGCCTGACCTACATATGTTTTCTATCACATCACCCTGTGGTATTTCTTTCACATTGCATGTCATAGTCTGATAGTCTTGGTTACTTAAAATTATTTACTGTCTGTCTCCCCACAATAGAAAGACGCCTCTCTGAAGGCAGGCACGCTGCCTGTCTTGTTCTCCCCTGTTATCCCACTGCGTAGCACAGGCCCTGGCACATAGCAGGTGCTCAACAATTTCTGTTGAAGGAGTGAATGGGTGACTGCAGTGCCGGTTGTCATAACTAAAAACTGCCAACTGCAGGATCGCCAACACGAACAAGCAACCTTCTGGCCATCCCCCCGCCATGCCTGGGGTGGAGGTTGGAGGGTCTGAGAAAGGAGGACAGGAGCCTGTTGTCCAAGGCAGTGTGGCTGGACAGCAGCACCCTGTTCTTCCTCCTGGTTCCTCAGCTCACCCCTTACCTCTGCTATGCATTTGCAGAATCCCGAATCAGACAAGGAACTTGTGACAAACCCAAATTCCTAGAAAATCCTCCAACTGCAAGTGGAAAGTTGGAGGTGACACTTTTGCCCCTCACCCCAAATCCCACATCCAGTCTACCCAGGCAGCTGTGCTATTCCATGTTTCCAAGTGAGTCCAGCAGCAGGAGACACAGACGATACCCAGGGAGCACGGCTCCTCCTGGGACAGTCCCAGCCCATCCCACCTGATTCTTCCCCTGGGCCCCTGACACCTGGGCTCAAATGCACATCCAATCCTGATCCAGCAGCCCAGGCTGAGGATGCTCAAGGGACACCCTTTTGGAGACACTTCCTGGGACCTGATTTCCATGGAGAGAACACTGCAGTTGAGCCAAGATTGATTTTTAAGAATGAGGAAGGGAGGGAATGAAATGCTTTCACAAAAATTGTGAAGGGAGGGAGAAAGGAAGGAAACAAGAAAAAGAAAAAAGACTCAAGAAGATGGCAGTAGACAAGGAATAAGAAGGATAAGTTTGATCTGAGGGGCTGGAATCAGGAAAGGGTGGGAGAGAGTACAAGATCTCCTCCTCTCCAGAAGTGGGCGATATTATAATTGATTAGTTGAGCACAAACGCCAAGTGCTCTTCTGGGCTCTGTATAAGGTCAGTTAAATAATAATGGCAATAACAGCTAATATTTATCTAGCACTTATTATGTACCAGGCACTGTTCTCAGTTTCACTTTATTAAGGCTTTTAATCCTCAAGTCAACCCCTTGAAGCGTTCATATTAACCCTATTTTATGGCTGAGGAAACTGAGGCACAGAGGTTAAGTTAAATTGCCCACAGCCACACCGCCAGGGGCATCCGGGATCTAACTCCAGCTCCAGGTCTCTTAACCACTAGGCTATATTTGGCCCTCAATGATCCAGGTAGGTGGGTCCCTACCCTCCTGGAGATCATGCCTTCCAAACCAGTATCTCCCAAACGATCACGACATGCCAGTTTCAAAGATGGCTGCTTACTCTACCCATTTCGCATGCGGGAAAGTCCGAACCCACGCTGCCCATCGACGGGGAACTGGAATCCAAATGTGCTGAATCCCAGCATCTTGCGAGGTGCTTTCTAATGAAGCACAGTAGAAACAGGGATCAGCCTCAGGCCCTGACTCCCGACTGCGCCGAGGCGCGGATTACGGAGCCGGGGAGCCGGGGAGCCGGGGAGCCTGGGAGCCGGAGAGCAGGAGCTAGCGGGCTGGCGCCGCGTCGGACGGGTCCGAAAACAGAACCGCGGAAGGCAGGGAGACGGCCCCAAGCCCAGGGCAGAGAGCAGAGGGCAGAGAGCGGCCTGGCTCGACGGAGAGCGCAGCCCGGCCAGAACCAAGCTTGCCTCCCAGGACTGCGAAACGAACAGAGTTATGCACCCATCTTTGAAACCGGCATGTCGTGATCGTTTGGGGGATACCGGTTTGGAAGGCATGAACTCCGGGAGGTAGGGACCCACCTACTTGGACTACTGAGAGCTAAGTACAGCCTAGTGGTCAAGAGCCAGCAGCATCGTCTCTGGCCGTCTTTGGCCAGACCCCTTCACCAGCGCCAGCGCCAGCGCCGAGGCGTCCTGCCCGGAAATTCCCAGAGAGTCAAAGCAAACTTCCCAGGAAAACTCTTCGGCTTCCTCCAAGCCTCTGTCACCGTGGCGGCTGCCAAGAGCGCCAGCGGAGTCTTTGCAGCTGCCGCGGGCCCTCCAGGGCGGGAGCCGCCGCTCCAGCGCTCGGGGTCCTCCCGGAAAGGTCCAGGGCTGAAGTTCAAAATTCACTTCCCGCCCAGGCCCGGCTCACTGCCCCGCCCGGTACTCTCCGGCAACCCCCACGTCTCTTGCCCTCTCCAGCTCCAGTTAGTCCTGGAGCGCCTCCAGCCTGAAGACCCATGCGGGCAGCTGGGCGAATCCCGCGGGCGATCCCTGCGCGCCTGGGGACTGGAAGCAGCCAGAGCCGGCGCACACACACAACCTTGTGTGTGCGTGTGTGTTTACGTACGGAACGCGCGGGCTGGGAAAACAATGGCGAGCCGCTGGGAACTGAGCGACTACCCGCTCCGCATCTCCCTACCCCTAGGCGCGATCAGCGTTTGCAGCGGAATCGGGATGAAAAGGCTCACCTACGATATCCCAGGGCGGGAGGTGTGGGTAGTAAAAAGCAGCCTGGGGTGGGGGTGGGGGTGGGACGGGAGCAGCCGGAGCAGAAAACAAACAGGATGCGGCGCCAGTCTGGTCCGCTGGGGAACGACCCTGAAACCGTGGCAAGGGGCGCGCGTCTGTCCCCCAGCACCCCACACAACCATGGCGGAGGAGCTCTGTGCCTCGTCGCAGGCACCTGAGCCCCACGCAGGACGCGCGCAGCTCGCCTCGGCTTCCCACTGAGAAATCCTTGAACTAGGCGCATAGTCGGGCTAATGAGAAAGACCTAGTCCTCCGCAGTCGGCGAGGAGCGGGTTGGAGGTGCACCCTAAGCTCGACCCGCGTGGTGAACGCGCGCGCGCGCACACACACACACAAATACACACACACACACACAGCCACGCACTGCCTTACAGGCTGCCACCCCTCTCCACAAGGACCCAAGTCGGCCAGGGAGGAGCCGCCTCTGCCCAGCGTTGTTGGGGGTAGGTGAGGGTCCGTCCCTCCTCGAAAAACTTTGCACGGGGTGGAAACTCGCAGGGAAGAGAGCCGGTGGGTGCCCAGAAACGTAGGGGCGCAAGTGTCAAACTTCAGCGGGCTGGGGAGATGGGCGCGACGGCGCGATCATGGCGCGGAGGGGTGCACTTACTACTCAGCCAGGCGCGGGGCTCGGGGCTCGGGGCTCGCGGCTCCGCGCTCCTGCTCCAACTCCGTGCGGTCCTCGCGGCTGGCAGCCTAGGCTTCCCGCTCACATGCCCCCGCGACACCGCGGGCGGGCCGGGTTGGTGAGGCTGGGCTGGGAGGGGGCACGCCCCCCGCCGTCGGCCGGGGAGTCGCTGCGGACCCACGGCCACCCTGGGTCCGCGCCCCACGGGGGGCCGCCGTCCCGGGCGGCGAGCTTGGTTCCGGCCGGGCGGCGCCCTCTCCACCGAGCCAGGCCGCTCTCTGCCCTCTGCCCTCTGCCCTGGGTTTGCGGCCGTCTCCCTGCCTTCCGCGGTCCTGCTCCGCCACTAGTCCGACGCGCAGCCGGCCGGCCCGCCCTGCTCTCCGGCTCTCCGGCTCTCCGGCTCTCCGGCTCCACGCTCAGCGCCTCGGCTTGGTTCCGAGTCAGGGCCTACGAGGCTGACCGCTGAGCTCTGGGCTCAGACCCGGGCTCGCCGGTTCTGGACCCGGGTTCCAGGACCCGTGCTCACACAGTTCAATTCCAAGCCGGGACTGGAGCAGGGCGCTCGCTGCTCGCTGCTGCGAGGCTACTGGACAGCCTAGAGGAGAAAGAGGGAGGGAGACTGAGAGCGCGCAGGGGGAGGGGGGAGGAGGGAAGGAGGGAGGGTGGGGACATGCAGAAGAAGGGAGGGACAGAGAGTTTCCTCCTCCTCCCTGCAGCCGGGTCCATCCAGGCATCAACAGCTGGAAACCTCTGTTGGAAAGGAGAAAGCTTAAGGTTTCCGGGCGGCGGGGGAGGGTGGAGGTGGAGTGAGGGGGTGTAGAGAAGAAAAGAAAGAAGGATTCTGCCCGCTCCCACTGCCCAGGTATGCAGATCGCTACAGAGAATCTTCACTCCTTAAAGCTAGACCTAAGAAGTTACTTACTGGTCCAACTCCAAGCCTCCTAACCCCTCCAGACAGATAGCCTGAACTCGGGGTTTTTAAATAACCCATTTATCTGGGAACCTGATCTCGGCCGGGCGCGGTGGCTCACGCCTGTAATCCCAGCAATTTGGGAGGCCGAGGCGGGCGAATCACTAGGTCAGGAGATCGAGACAATCCTGGCTAATATGGTGAAACCCCGTCTCTACTAAAAATACAAAAAATTAGCCGGGCGTGATGGCCCGCGCCTGTAACACCCGTACTCGGAAGGCTAAGGCAGGAGAATCGCTTGAACCCGGGAGTCAGAGGTTGCAGTGAGCCAAGATCGCGCCATTGCACTCCAGCCTGGGCGACAGAGCGAGACTCGGCTCAAAAAACAAACAAACAAACAAAAAACCTGATCTCACCTGTAGGTAGATGGATACCTGATATCTCCAACTACTCCCTAATCCTGTCATTTGCAGCCTCTCATATAAATCTCTTATCTTCTCCTGTCCCATTATATGGGAAGGTGGGGGAGAATGCAGAGTTGGTTTCCGTTCATTCAACATATTTATCAAATGTCCACATGTGACCGGGCGCAGTGGCTCACGCCTTTAATCCCAGCACTTTGGGAGGCCAAGGCAGCATATCACCTGAGGTTAGGAGTTCGAGACCAGCCTGGTGAAACCCCCTCTCTACTAAAAATACAAAAATTAGCCGGGTGTGGTGGTGCATGCCTGTAATTCCAACTACTGGAGAGGCTGAGGCAGAAGAATTGCCTGAACCTGGGAGGCGGAGGTTGCAGTGAGTGGAGAACGCACCACGCACTCCAGCCTGGGCGACAGAGTGAGACTCTGTCTCCAAAAAAAAAAAAAAGTCTACATATGCCTGGCTTACCTGAGTGCTGGGGACACGAAGACAAATGAGACAGTGTCCTTCCCTTTCTGGATTCTGATTTTGTAAAGGAATGGGTGAATATACCATTGCAGTGAAGTGGAGAGGGCTAAGATAGGACAGGTAAATGGGTCCTGGGCCACCAAAGACACTGGGGTATGGGGACTGGAACCAGAGTCTTCTTGGGGGAGATGGCATCTGAAATGGGTCTTGGAAGGACCTGTGGGTGTAGGGCAGATTAAAAGAGTGACAATCATGGACCTACTAAGAAGTCTATGCCCACAGTGTGGGTGGCCAGTGTGTTCAAAGGTGATGGTCAGCAAGGCTCTCAAGGCCTTCTAAGGACTCATCCTTGCCCACTGCTTTGCCTGGCTAACTCTTTTCATCTTTTAGGTCTCAGCCTAGACATCAACTTTCCCTGAAGCCTTTCTTGATGGCCATATCTGGGCCAGGTGCCCCATCTGTGGGCTCTGGAAAAATCCCCACTTGTAGATAATATGGTAACCATTCATTTGTCTGTCTGCCCCGCTGGACTGTAAGCTCCGCAAGGGCAGGGATGTATCTCTCCAGTGTGCCTAGCCAGGGATTGAGAAAAAGCATAAATACTTATTGATCAATACTTGTTGATGGAAGGAAATGGGGAGCCACTGAAGGATTCTAAGCAAGGCCTCAGATGCCATCAATCTAGCTGGAGATAGGAAGGAGGCCAGTGGCCAGACAATAACAGTGACCAGGGTAAAAATGATGCAGGCCTGAGCTAAGCTGGGAGTAGGAGGAATGGAAAGGAGAAAACAGGTGGGTATAAGAGAGTGGGAGAAGCCAACATTAAGGGCCTGATGTTTGGGATAACTATGGATGAAGCCATCCTAGAAACCATGAAAGGGTTACCCAAGTTGCCAGATGTAGTGGCTCATGCATGTAATCCCAGCACTTTGGAAGTCCGAGGCAGGCGGATCACCTGAGGTCAGGAGTTTGAAACCAGCCTGACCAACATGGAGAAACCCAGTCTCTACTAAAAATACAAAATTAGCCGGGCGTGGTGGTGCATGCCTGTAATCCCAGCTAATCGGGAGGCTGAGGCAGGAGAATTGCTTGAACCCCAGGAGGCAGAGGTTAAGGTGAGCTAAGATCACGCCACTGCACTCCAGCCTGGGCAACAAGAGCAAAACTCCATCTCAAAAAAAAAAAAAAAGAAAAGAAAAGGTTACCCAAGTGCCACCAAGACTTTCCTCCTCCCATACAACATGCCTGTGTTTTCCATGTATCTGGTTGTTTTTCTCTGGCCCCTGATCATCTTCACGGAGGCACCTTGACCGTGGGTCCCTCCCTGTAGCTGTCCTTAGTAACAGCAGATTGAGAGAGGAAGAGCAAAGATCAGCCCTTCCAAACACTGCCACCAAATTAAGGTATAAAGTGTCTCCCTACTGGGTCTTAGACACAATACTATTTTCCTATATGATATCTACTTGTACCTTATCCCAATTCTGTGAGGTTGGTGTCATCCCCATTTTATTTTATTTTTTAATTTAATTTAATTCCATCTCTTTGCAAGTCCCTGAGTACCTGGAATCCCATTCTAGAGATGAGAAAAATGAAGCTCCAGTTAGTGGCAAGAGGAAGTTATCTGATTGAAGATTCTACATTTTCTCTACTACCGCACCATTTCCCAGGAACAACTATCAAATGTACATGATTTAACTCAGTCAGCCTCTCCTTGAAACACTCACTTCATGAGTCCACAGTCTCCTGAGTCCTCCCACCTCACTGGCTGCTCTTTCCCAGCCACCCTTGTTTATGTTCCCTCCTCCATTCTGGTCTCCAGGTGGGCATTCCCTGTGGGCTCTCTCCTGCACCCCATTTTCCTCCTACCACCTCTCCCTAGGTAAAATTTTGTCCTTTTCCATAGCTTTAAGTACCAACTATGTGGTGATGATTCTCCAAATTATTTAATATCCAAGACTATTATCCAACCACACACTTGATGTTTCTACTCAAGGGCCTCACAGGCATTGTAACCATAATGGGCCCATTGCCTGAGGGCCTGCAAGTCAATACACCAACTACCAGGGTTGCAACAGAAAAAAAAAATTTAAACGCAAGGCTGAACAAGGAAAGGAGAGAAAACCTCAATTCTGTTTCTCCAAAGAGTTGGGGGCTAGGGATTTTAAGGGGTCTGGAGTGGGCCGAGGTATGGGGATCACTGTGGATGAGTTGAAGAGTATGGAGAGTCAGGGAGATGGAGAAACTGCATTCTCATGCTGATTACTCTCCTCTGTGAGGGTCTTCCAACTGGTGGCATCAGCCATTCTGCTGGAACTCAAGAGCTAAAAACATCTTAAGCAAATCTTAAACAAAAGCCTTATGATTCCAACGTCAGTGATCCTATCTATAGGAACAATAGGGATGCAAATCGATTCTTCAACAAAAGCCTTATGATTCTAACATCAGAAATCCTATCTATAGGAACAATGGGGATGTAAATGGTCAGTATCTGGTTCTACGGGACTTTTAGCAACAAGGAAGTGCGTCAAAGTGCAACCTAATTAATGCTTTTTCTTTCTTTCTTTCTTTCTTTTTTGAGACAGGATCTTGCTCTGTCACCCAGGCTGGAGTGTACTGGTGAAGTCACGGCTCACTGCAGTCTCAACCTCCTGGGTTCAAGTGATCCTTCCACCTCAGCCTCCCAAGTAGCTGGGACTACATATAAAGGCATGAGCCACCCTGCCTGGCTAATTGTTTTTCTTTTTGTGTAGAGACAAGGTCGCACTATGTTGCCCAGGCTAATCTCAAATTCCTGGGCTCAAGTGATCCTCTCACCTCGGCCTCCCAAAGTACTGGGATTACAGGTGTGAGCCACCGCACTTGCTCATTAAGGTTAAATTATAACTGTATTTCTGTCCAGAACCTAGCGTGTAATACTTGCTAACCCTGGGAGGATGGCTTCCACATCCTAACCCTAACATTGAACCTTTAATCATCATTCCCAACCCAGTACCATCTTCTTTCCCATCCAGTAAATGGCATCACCACTTACCTAATGGCTCAAGTCAAAAACCTAGCCATCATCTATGATTGTTTTTTACTCATCTAATCAGTTTAATGAGTCATTGGCCTATCTCCAAAAATATATCCCAATCCATCCATTCGTCTGTCTTTACCACCCCACCCTAGTCCAGGCCACCATTACCTACCACTCAGATAGACTACAACAGTCTCACCTGCAGTGACATCATTTCACTGAGGCTGCTTACATCTGCATGACTTTAATATTTGTTCCAGAAATTTCTTCCCCAGGAAGGTAAGAATGTAAACCAGTAAATAACTTCATTATTTCCTTCAGGAACTTCCTGAAAATCAATGTATCTGAACAATAGACTGCTCAAACAGCCCTCTTCTCGGAACAACAGTTTGCTTAACTGGGCAAACTAGTAGCTTATCAAACAATTGTTTATTCTTCAAGACCCTCCCTTTACCATGTCCTCCAATCCTAAACTGTTACAAATTTTGCCAAATCCCAATCAGATCCCCATATTGAAAGATCTGCCTTGAACTAGACTTCAAACCCTATAAAAATCTTTACACCTGGAAAGTTCTTCCCCAAACCCTCCTCTTCCTAAAGTGGGCACCTTTTCACCCTCTTGTCTCAACAAAAATGTCTCTTCTCTCATCTCCCCCTTTCCTCCCATATAAAATCATCCTCTACCCCATCCCACCTTTATCCTGTTTCTCAGCCCTGTTTGCTTCCTTCATAGCACTTACCAGAGTTGCACTTATTTTATCTGTTTTCTGTTTTCTTGTATTTTTCTGTT